GGTTCTCAAGAGTATTGAGTTCTCCACGGGTGACGATGATGAGGTACGAGAGCATCTTGAGGCAAAGGACGCGGAGGGCAATTCTCTCGAGAAGCTTCTCTTGGCGCGAAACAAGAAGCTGGGCGATGAGTTGACGGTGCTTCGTGTTTCGCATAACGATTTACAAAGCCGACTGGAGGATCTTCAGGAGGAGCTCTCAAAAACTAATGCCGAATTGGAGCGATCCCAGAAGCTCAACCAGAAACTGGAGAGTGATTTGGAGACAATCCAGGAGGAGGGTGCTAACGCATTCCCATCTGGTGCATCTGTAGCTGGAACATATGTCACACGGGCAGTTGGCCGCAAGAGTGGCAGAATCTCGCCAACATCGTCAATCATCAGCGGTATGGATCCCCGCATGGGAGGAGGTGAGCCCGGCGAACGAGTCTATGGAGGAGGCTCGGGCATGTTGCCCATGGTCACGGCTCAGCGAGACCGTTATAAGAAGAAGAATGCAGAACTTGAGGAAGAACTGTCGGACACGCACCGAACAGTCTCGCAACTGCGCCAGGAAGTCGCGGCGCTTCAGAAGGACAACCTGAATCTTTACGAGAAGACAAGATACGTGTCAACATACAACCGAGGAGGCGGCGCAGCGACATCATCAGCGTACGGGGCGAACCCAAACCCATCGACAGTGTCAATTGGCGAAACGGGCAATCCTGGCATCGCCATGGACCGATACCGCCAGGCATACGAGTCCAATATTTCTCCGTTTGCAGCTTTCCGTGGGCGAGAATCTGCTAGAGCCTACAAACGGATGAGCCTACCAGAACGCGCAGTCTACTCATTGACACGCACGGTGCTTGCTTCGCGAACCAGCCGAAACTTGTTTGCTGCGTACTGCGTAGCGCTCCATTTGCTGGTATTCATATCTTTGTATTGGCTCAGTTCTTCAGATGTCCAGCGGGTAACTCATCTTGAGTCCGCCGCGGCCGCGGCAGCTGGAGTTGCCGGGGGCTCACTAGGCAGTCCAATGGACGGAGCGCCTAAAGATCCTGCCAAGTAGAGGGCGATGCGCCGTCTTGTTTTGTAAGTGTTTTGCTCAAAAGCCGGAAAGGGAATGTGTCAACGAATCTCCGCGGGAGATGGAACTGTATCATTATCAGGATAGACCTGCGTCAAGACTGGGTCGGCAGTGGAGTCATTGGATATCTGAGATCTCGTGTTATGTGTACTGTACATATTATGGAAGCAAGCGATATCTCGTGCCGTTGTAAGCGAGATCCATGCCAAGATGGATGGCATTATTGAGTTGGGTGGTGAGAACCTTGAAATTAGACCATAACATGATCCACCTAAGCAACCTCCTCAAGAGAAAATAAAGTAAACATGTGACAGGCTTGTTCTGGGCAGCCTCTGAGGTCCGCTAAAACATGCAAGTCATGATGTTGATAGAAGCTTGGCTATATTCGTCTTGATGTGCGAAAATAGCCTGTCCCAATAAGAGGGGCCAGTTGCTATTTTCTGCAGCCGCTGGCCGCTTATCGCGGCCCGTAGACATGCATTATCCGCAGTCCAATTAGAGACTTGCAAGCTGGCGGCAAGCTACACAAGGCCCTGTATGTAATTTACTCTGGTCAAGGGACTTTGTTTCTCGTTTCTTGGGAGGTCTTGAATGTTTTAATGCTGGGATGAGGGTGGTTCGCCAGTGGCGCCGAGAGATCTTGGGATCTATTAAAGGGACCCCGGTTGGCTTGGGGATGGAGAGGGTATCATTGAGAGGCTGGAATGTGACTTGAACTCAAACAGTTTTCGTAGTTTTGTGGTCATACGGAAAGAGGATGGATGTAGTACAGCGTACAGCAGATATCGTCATTGCTGACTGGGAATGTATACCATCTACCGTATAGGTAAGTAGGCGGTCTATGTCTAGAGAGCAGACTCAGATATGTCTGAATATTATATTATAAACGTTCGTCAATGACAGCCTCGACTGCACGAACCCAGATCGCACATGGCAAAGTGCATGAAAAAAGCGGAATTATCATTGTTGTGGCATTTCCTCGTGCCCATCTCCATTTCTAAACGCCCATGCATCCATATGCCGACGCCGAGCCAGGCGCTTAAGCAGATCCCTCCCACCAATCACAACCCAGCGACTCTCTTCAACAATCAAATGATTGGCTCTCATTGCTCAATCTTGTTCCCGGATCACATATGAACCAGACGTGCATGTCCACCTCAGACATGGGAAAAGGCTGGTGGTTATTTTTGTATCCAGATCTTGGCAGATAATCCAATCATGGTCATTTGCTCAGACTTACCGCCCGTACGCTTAGGCGCGTGTAACAGGGTCTTGGCTGGAGGGGAAGGCTGGTATATTAAGAGACGGGTTCGTCGCCTGATGGTGTCGAGAGAGAAAGAGAAAAAGACAGAGGCAGGAAAAGATCTCTCTGCATCTGTCTGAATACACTCAAAGACGCTGAGCGTTCTTTTTTCCTTTTGTCTCTTATTTCCTTTATCTGTTATTTCCTTGTTTCCTAGGGTCAACAAGTTTTCTATCTCAAGTCTCGTTCCGGTCGATTATCTATAAACATTTCTATTGTTTCTTGGGTTCTGTTTCTCTTAACCGGCATACGTCTTGACGATCCGAAACGATACCGACACGCTTATATCCTCGATATCACATCAATCACATCACACATACTTCTACACACAACTTCAAGATGCAATTATCAACATTTGTCGCTTCTGTCCTGGCGGTGACTGCCTCTGCAGCACCAACCTATCCTACAGTTACTGTCACCGATGCTGGATCTGCCATTGACGCATTAGGGTCATTGTCTGGTTACTTCAATTTGGTTGCGGATAAGGTCAAGGCAGTCAAGTCGTATGGAATGGCTCCAGTCTGTGATCTTTCACAAGCTAAGATGCCTCTTGGTATGTCACCACTATTCAGTGCTTGTCCTCTTTTGACTAACCTGTGATTTCAGATGGTCAACTACCTCCCCCAGCCAAGGGCCTGAAGCTGGCTCATGTCGCCATCGGCCGTGGTACACAAAACTATACATGCGATACCAGCAAGCCTTCATCAGCCCCCGTTGCTACTGGTGCTGTAGCCACTCTATTCAACGGCAGCTGCGTTGCCGCAATGTACCCAGATCTGATCGAACGCATCCCTGGAATGGCTGTTCACTTTCCTCTGTCAGATGCCAACAAGCTTGGTCCTGCATCTCTCGTTGAGTCTGGTCACCATTACTTCACCGCCGATGGTGTGCCCTTCTTCGACCTCCGCACACCCAACCAAGACATCGGTGAGGCTCCATGTGCAAAGAACAGCAGCGCTCCTGCTCCCTCTCTCTCCGCCAAGGGACAGCTTGGTGAGAATGCTGTACCATGGCTCAGACTCACCACCATTGAGGGTGCTACCCACAAAATGAAGGAAGTCTACCGAACTACAACAGCCGGTGGTAGTGCCCCTGCAACTTGCCAGGGCATGGATGCTGAGTTTGAGGTTCAATACGCCACATTGTAAGTACTTCTTCATGAGATTAAGTATACAGTATGCTGACTAACATTGTATCAGATATTGGTTCTGGGCTGGCGATATTGAAGAAGACGACGCGTAGAGTGAATAGAAAGGAAGTAAATGGATTTTCATGAATTGGTATTATTTTGAGTTCGATGGTATTCTTCTCTTATACACGTAGATAGTATTGTTTTGGACATGTAATATCCCGGTTTTTAGCGATGTGGAGGTCAATAATTCAACTTGTGACTTGAGCTTCGAGCCTTTTGAGTGAATCTGTATGTCGGAGTTTTGACCGGAGCCGAAGACTTTTTATCATGTCAAATCATATCATTTGATCCCTCCAATCGACGTCGCAACACAGTTTACTGATCTCCGGCCTTCTCCGGGTTCCAGGCTATCGTATTCTGATGGATCTCCCCATGGGGATGCCCACAGGGCTGATCCCTGAACTCAAGTTGGATTGAAGCTACAAGAGTGATGACAATCAATGTGGATTTCTTTTATAGTATGATTTTCGTCATCTAATAATCTTTCATCAATGCAAAAATACAACTCTCTATTTCAAACGAGGAATGGTTAATTGCATCCAGAAGAATAGACTTAACGCTGTTCACACAACTGACAAAACGGGGGCAAATCTAGATATAAGCTCTAGGTACAATAAAAACCGAATCTTAAAGGCTGCCTATTAACGGGTGCAATCCAATAGAGTTCAACGTTCAACACAGACGTCCACTGTAAACCAATGCCTTACAGTATCGGTACATAAACTTAGGCTGTATCCGTTTGCACTCGTCGCGGTACATTTGTGGCACGGAACATGACCGATGGGGCACTTTCCAAAGTGGATACTTCACTACCCTGGACTGCCCATGTCTCCCCCACGTCCCAAGGTTAGTTAACCTCTAAACATAAACATGCCATCCCCATCTTCAACTCATTAATTTTCTCCCCTCGGAGCCGCAATCGCACAATTAACCCCGGCATAGATCGACAGCTATTCTACCAACTACCGGGAGACGAGGGCCTTGTCCCCTCGATTTCACTTTCCCCCAGACCTACGTTTGCCACCGGGCATTGGCCGCATCGACCCGATCCAACCCGTTCGTTCACCTGCAGTCTTGATTGCAGCCGACCGAGTACTACATTGCGGATTCATTCATTTATTCACCTTAGTTAAGACAAAAACACAGAGATACTCCTGGCGGTTACCTGCATTCAACATTCGTGCTTGTTTGTCTATCATCGAATTATTATTATTCTTCATCATCATATTAGACAACTTCGTCCTCTTTTCTCCCTCTGCATCATCACCACCATTCAATCCCCGCTACTACAACGCCCCGCCATCAGAGTACCTTAACGACATCCTCACCCTCCACCCGACCGAAAGTGAATCACGACAACCGTTCAATCTCACTGTCACTCTATTCCGATAACGCTATCTACGAAACCGAGCCTTGCGGTCTGTTGACCCATTGCGATAATGGATTCCAACTTAATTGACGCCATCGACCCGGCATTGGATCGGAGAAGACCAAGCACTGCTCCTCCGTCCTGTGACGAAGACATGCCCACTCTCGTTGAACGATCAGATTCTCACGATCGAAGCCAAGAGATATCTGCCGTTACCTGGCCCACGAACGAAATCCCGGTTGAGATTTTCGAGATCATTATTTCGCACCTTACCCGCCTCGAGGTAAGATGTTTGCGACTTGTCTGTAAAGAATTCGAGGCCAAGGTTTCTGCGCAGTACTTTCGAAATGTCGTGGTGCCCTTCAAGTCGGAGCTTTACAGCAAATTGGATCGTGATGAAAACGGCGCGTTTAAGCGCACGTCTTCTGCTCTTCTCTCAAATGGAATGCGCATCTTCCAGTCTTTTGGGCCACACATCCGGCGCTTTGCGCTGTCTTTGGAGCTTGACGAGGACACGCTCTCATACCCCCCAGTGAAGCCTTCGCAAGAAGCTGTTCCTTCTTTCTGGGGCATATACCGCTGGCCCCATGGCACCTACCACCGATATACTGATCTTGAAGGTCTCGAACAAACGGCTGACGAAACTGAGGCCATGAAGGAGGCGCTTAAGTGCTTGGTCAAAGTCACAAATCTTGGACTCTGCTGCGATGCTGGTCTTGGATTTCTGTCGGGGCCTGATCACATCGCACGAGGTGCAACCACTCTCCATCCCGTGTTTGCAACGCAAAACTGGCGTCACACAGGTTCTGAGTCACAAGCTCGGAAGCAACCCATCATCACCATGTCCGACCTGAATGAAATGGTCAAGGATTTTAGAAAGCCTGTGTTTGAGAACCCCATTAGTTTCAAGCGAACAGTTCTGCAGAAGATGGCCTCAGATGCTGGGTACTCGGGTGCCCAGATCAACGAAGCTGTGCTAATGCTGTTGGAAACTGAGGGCACCAACATCAACGCAATTGATTTTGATGAGAGGGCATCTATTATTAACGAGATGGAAGCTAGACGAGTTATGGCACAAAACACACATCGCGCTGACTTCGAACCCGCCACCGCAGAGGTGGCCAATCATCCGCTGATTCCCGCCAGTCTCACAAGAGCACAAAAAGAAATGCTCCTTGAGCTCGAGTGGGCGCATCGTGCCATGATCCAGTCCTATGTCATTGGCCTTATCGACAATGCCCGAGACAACTGCTTTAACAACCTTACTACCATCACGATTGCCAAGATTCCCAGTAGCCATGTGTATATTTTATATCGTCACGAGCTATGGCAAAACCTATCGTCTCTCAGCAATGTTTCGCTAGGCGTTATTGCCGACTGGCGACGCGTTTCCAAGTCTGCCCCGGGTTGTGTAGAAGATGACACAGTTTCTCCTGTCGAGGCTGTTGGTAAGGTTTATCAACTGCTTAACAATTACATTGGCGCTCAGCGTCACATCGAAAGCCTTCACTTTGAATGGATCTGTGGTGGAGAGTTTGCTCCTGGAACATATCAACGGAACCACCACATCCTCCCAGCACCGTTCTTTGAACAACCTCAACTCATGACTCGCATTGATAGCCCCAAAACTCATACGGACGATCTCTTGGCATTACCATTCATTAAACATTTGTCACTCAAGAACTGCTGGGCCTCACCGCATGTCCTTTTGCAAACAATACGCAATATGGCTTTGTCTACACTCGAGAAGCTCGATCTGGAATCTGTATCACTCTCTGGTCCACCGACTCTCACCCCACAGGCTCCGCTCCAGCAAGCTGGCGCAGCAAACAATGCTCATCTGCTGAACATGATCGGGATACACCCTGCACCTCCTGGTGTGCCGGTACCTCCACCGACCAATATAGCGAATGGGGTTGTTGCACCATTCCCATTCAACGCGACGGCTCAGCAGCTTGCAGGAGCATTTGGAGTGGCATTCATGCCACCGCCACCCAATAATCAGGCTCCTCCGCCACCGCCTGCGCCTATGGATATCTTACAGCAACCAGATACACTATCTTGGGCAGGCATCATAGAGCATTTCTCTCCAAGCATCAAGATCAGAGATATTTTGAGTGCTAGAGACGAGCTGGCTTTGAATATCACGAGCCAACCAGTCTTGGATCAGCCAGATCCCTTAGGGCAGCACATACCTGCACCGCACCGCCTACGCTCAGATGAGAAGAAGTATACTTTGAAGTGCCTCTCCTTCAAGTCCTGTGGGTATGTCACAGTCGACTCACCGGCTTTAAATACTAGGAGTATCTTGCCGCATGGCGCCCAAGGCCTTGGGGCCAACGGCAATCCGCACAGCCAGGATCTATCGCCTTTGATGCAGAAGTGCCGGGACAAGCTTCTCTGCCGAATCGTACCTTGCTTAAGGAACCAGGAGCTAGTGCAACTTACGACTGCCTTCGGGATGGACATGGGATGGGCCAATATATACGATGAGCGTACAATCTACGACGCTAGAGCTGATGGTGTTGAGCAGCCTGGAAAAGGTCGATTCTCGGGTACAGTTGATGCTGCCAGTTTTCCTGGGGCACGAGATAGCGAGGCCATGGTGAGCCTAGACTTCTAGATCAGGCTCTACGGTGACCATGCTCGATTCCGCATTCCCGCACGGGTGGTTGTCCCTTCCCCCGTGGCTGGTAATCTTCTCAATCTACAACCCTTTGGCTTTCCACCTGGTAATCAGGACGACGGTCAGGCCCCTCCGCAAGGGCTAGATGATCAGGACGACGTACAATACCCACCGTTGCTAACAGATGATGACGACTCACCATGGTCAGATGGTGAGAACTGAACGGTGGGACTTAGCATGGATATAATAGAAAAGGATGGCATAGGCGTTTGGTAATTGCTTTCGAAAATTGGGCTGGAAAAAGGCAATTGGGCCTTACAGAATTGGACGAGATGGCTAATGTCGTGATGATCGCTAAATGAAAATCAAGCCAGGGGACTTTGCTCCCAACGCATTCGCTATGGTGCCAGTTGGAATCAGTTAGGTTTGTTCAATCAATAGCTGCTAGCAAGCATTGTATATGTATTGATATCGAGGATTATGAAGGAGAGTGTGACATGTATTCAGCGTCACTGAATCAACAGCCAACCTGATGCAATGCCTCACTACCAATGTCCAATAATCGCGAGTCTACGGGGTTCATGTTGACCTTTATTAATCACGTCACATTGTTCTTCGAATCCGGGACCGGACATAGGAGGACTTGATTGATTTTTATTTCGTCAAGAAAACCTTGCGAATTTTGCATGAATTTCCCTTTAATGCCATGCTCACCGTAGCCTGCCATACACCAGTTGATGAAAAGCCACGAACCACCCTCGCAAAAACCCTAGAACAATTGATCGAGTTTTGTAATGTAATCTTGGTGTAGTGTCCCTTTGTTCAAGAGTCTTGTCAAAAGTCACACAGTTACAACACAGAAGATGCCCGACGTAAACCCAGTGTTTAACCAGCGCTTAAATTTTGTCTATTTGATAGAGGTTGGTGATTGTTTAAGCGGCGGTGATAGCCTTGCGGAGACGGGCACCACGCTGGCGCGAGCTGAGGTGCTCGCGCTCGACAACAGCATCGGACTTCTGGACAACCTCCTCACCCTCGGTCAGGATGAGCTCGATGTGGCAGGGGTTGGACATGTAGGGGTTGATCTGAGTATGACGTTAGATGAGTTTCAAGTCCGAAAAGTTGGAAAACATACACGACCGTGGGCACGGTATGTCCTTCGTCGCTGCTTGGGGGCCTGGTTGACCTGGATGTGCTTGACAATCAGGGCACCGGTGTCGAGACCCTTGGCATCAGCGTTGGCCTCAGCGTTCTTGAGGAGACCGAGGAGGAACTCGGCGGACTTGACGGGCCATCGAGCCTTGGAGACACCAAACTGCTTGCCTATTGATTAATTCCATCAGCATTGTTGTTCCTCTGACGTATATCCCAACCATTTGCGATCTCCGAATCTCTCCAAGTCCATCGCTAACGAGGGAAGAATTTGTCGGGTCGTACCTTGGGCGGTGCGGCCAGTGCTGCCGGCATATCGTCGCATGGGGACAGCCTCCTTGTGCTCCTTGACGTTCTCGAGGAAGGTAACAGCGCGCTGAAGCTTCCAGCCGTTGATGGCCTGGGCGGTCTCGCGAGTGTTCTTGAAAGACACTCGGAGGTAGGCACCGCGGGCGCGGGCCGACTTCGAGGACTGGATCTCGGTGGCAGCGTATCGAACCTGTATGCGTAGAAAAAGCCAGAGTCAGTCATGGCACATCTTCAAAATCCATGCCATTACAGCCATCATCAACACAGCGGTTTCGGGTCAAGGTGGACGTTTCGTCAAAAATTGCACCAGCAAGTTCATGACAATTCGTACAGCATGAATATCCTCCTGTTTCTCATGATGGCGATCGACGGGGGCTCGCAATTACTCACCATCTCGGCGACTTGGGTGGTGAGTGACGGTTTCGACGACGAACGTGGGTTGGCGGGCGTGAAATTGAGAAATTCTGAGCTCTTGCCCTAACAGATCGGGAGGGACCACAAACTCGCTTTCCCCACTCCTTTGGGAAAGAGGCCTTAGGGTTGCCTGCCCTGTTAGTGCGATTCGTGAAAAGCAGCCTCAAATGGCCAAAAGAAATGCGAGAAGATGGAGACCAACGAGAGGAAGTCTACAGTAGACTATGAATAGTAATTGAATACTCTTCAAATATTTCATTACTTGTTGCGCTATGATTTTGCGTAGCATTTTGCACACTCAGCTGTGAGCCGGGTCACCTGACTCTTATCGACTATCGCCACGTGATTCTGTCATGCAATGCATCTTCTCTAGCCGCTCTATCCCCGGACCCGCCTCGGAAACGGAGAAACTTGAACAGACAAAGTGGGCCTGAGCTTCATAGAGCTTCAAAAAATTCTTTCTCAAGTGTCTCTCAAAACGCCCAGCGTCCCCAGACAAGGCTATACAAAAGACAAGTTTGGACTTTGATCCACGTCCGCCTTCTCTCGACGATATCCCTTCGCTTGGAATCCTTCTCGATAACGACATATAGTCGTCCCTAATTCTTCCAAACTTATTCAATTCCTCTTTATCCATTTAAGATGGCTCCTTTCACTCCTCGAGGAGGCGGCCGTGGTGGTCGTGGCGGCGCTCGTGGAGGCCGCGGTGGTTTCGGTGGTGATCGCGGCGGCTTTGGTGGCCGTGGTGGTGCGCGCGGTGGACGAGGTATGAACTGCGCTCTTTCGGCGTTTCTGTCGCGGTGTTGTTGAACTTGAAGACTGACTGTTTCGCAAAGGTGGTGGCCGTGGTGCTCCCCGTGGCGGTCCTCGCGGTGGTGGACGAGGTAAGCATCAGTCCTTCTCAACTACATGATGAATGCGATACTAACAGGATGAAAAGGCGGTCCTCGTGGTGGTCGCGGCGGTGCTGGTGCTGGCCAGAGAGGCGGTGCCAAGGTCATTGTTGTATGTTGATCCTCCATGTCTTAACTTTTTCGCCAAGTTTTGCGATCTAACTTTTTCACAGGAGCCTCACCGTCACCCCGGCGTCTTCGTCGTCCGTGGTGGTAAGGAAGATGGTCTTGCTACCCGCAACACAACACCTGGCGAGTCTGTCTACGGCGAGAAGCGCATCTCTGTCGACGAGTCTGTCCAGAACGACGATGGCACCACTACCACCACCAAGATCGAGTACCGCATGTGGAACCCCTTCCGAAGCAAGCTTTGCGCTGCCATCGCTGGTGGTGCTGATGAGATCTACATCAAGCCTGGCTCTCGTGTCCTCTACCTTGGTGGTGCCTCCGGTACCTCCGTCTCCCACGTCGCTGACATTGTCGGTCCTACTGGCTACGTCTACGCCGTCGAGTTCTCTTCCCGATCCGGCCGTGATCTTATCACCATGGCCTCCAAGCGACCCAACGTTGTCCCCATTGTTGAGGACGCCCGTCAGCCTGCCCGTTACCGCATGATCGTTCCCATGGTCGATGTCATCTTTGCCGATGTTGCCCAGCCTGATCAGGCCCGTATTGTCGCCATGAACGCCAACTGGTTCCTCAAGGTCGGTGGTGGTGTTCTCATCTCCATCAAGGCCAACTGTATCGACAGCACTGCTCCCGCTGCTGAGGTCTTCGCCAACGAGGTCCAGAAGATGCGAGCTGAGTCCATCAAGCCCAAGTTCCAGCTTACCCTGGGTATGTTTGACATCCAACAAATTTTGGTCCCTTCCACTAACATGTTTCAGAACCCTTCGAGCGTGACCATTGTTTGGTTGCCGGTGAGTACCAGCGCTACAAGTCCTAGACGAGCTAGGTCGAGCTGCTGTGTAATTCGCTTCAAATGAAGGTTGAGAAGAGATGGTCTGCTTTGTGTCATGCGGTTTTCCAGGTATCTCACGGTTCCCGGTAGACTTTTTGTCTTCAGCTTGTTGCATCAGGGAAAAAATAGTTGACGGCATTTTCTTCAACAACGGCGAGGGGCGTTCCGGGTGGGTTGGATCTGTAAATATCAATGTTTGTCCGAATCTTAAAGCTTTTTTGGTGTTGCGCATCCAAAAAGAATCTGAAAAGGAACAAGGATATCAATTACTTATTTGTTTTCTTCTTCAAACGACTACGGATCTACTTTTCAGCTACAACTGCACCTTTGCCCTGGGACGCGCCGTTAGTTAGGCCGTTGGGAGAGAGATGGCACGGGATCAGAGAGGATTGTACGATGCTATAAGGCCAGGCCAGTGGCTCTCGTCTGCCTGACCTACGACTTGATGATACCCCCATACGATAGCCACGCCCGGAGTCCCAGTGTTGTGTCTTTGTTAGATTAGAACAGTTCGAGCAATGCAATTCGTTACCTTTAGTTGTCTATGCCCCAAGTATCAAGTTTAGTACCTTTTGCTCACTGCTTGGCTTGACACGCAAGTCTCTCGAGACTTTTTTTTAAACTAAATTTTGTTCTCGAGGCTAGTCAATCTTATGCGTGTCTTTCCTCCGCATCTACAATGCCACGTCTATGCTTTATGTACAAGCTAACTTAAATGTACTGGGTATCAAATAGTTCATGATCATACTCCCTTCCTTCAAGCTGCCCACGATCTTCGTCGAAACTCCAGTTCGGTATCTGGAGAGGGAGCCTTAGCCATAACCACCGACATGGCCTTTGGTCTATCTTCGCCCGCTTTTAAGCGGATATCATAGTTGATGAGTAGATGTGCCAGCACAAGCTTGATCTCATTACTGGCAAAGAAACGGCCGGGGCATGCATGCTTGCCTGCACCGAAATTGATGTATGTGTCGTTGAGGGATGTGAATTGCCATCGATTGCTGGCTTCTGCTGATTCTTGTCGGAGCTTGTAGAAGCGGAAGGCATCGAAGCGTTCGGGGTCGGGGAAATAGCGCTCGTCGAGAGCGATGCCAGCTTGAGGAGCGAGGACCTTGGTGCCTACTGGCAGTTCGGTGCCATCAGAAAGGGAGATGGGCTTCATGACCTTGCGGATGAATGATGCTATATCATGGTTAGCTGACTTCGAGATATCGACGAGTGTTGTTGGTACTCACTGATATTTCCGCTGAGACGCTGGACCTCCCTCA